AAGCTTTGATGAAACCAGGAAGTGTCAGAGTTTTTAGTTCCTGTAGGTGCTTACAATTCATACTTTTAGGGGGGTTTTTTTTCATTTTATATATTCAGGTTATTGCTTAAAAGTTGAAATTATACAATGCCTGAGTGTCTAGTAGCGCCTCATGCTTATATTGTAATCACCATTATGATTAGTCATGCTGAGGTTTCAGTTCTGTTATGTTTCTAAATGGTTTGACAGTTTGGTATTTGGTCATATTGGACTATAATATACTGCATTAAGTAATGGTTTTGCTTTATTGGATTATATTGTCAAATCATTTGGGGGTAAATTATAATTTCTTAGTCTTATGTGTTTGATTGTCCTATGATTTTATTTCCATATTGAAAACTTTATATTTGTAAATCATCTTTCTATATTGCTTCCTGTGCTTTCTGTATAAAAACACATAGCACAAGCCACTCTGTACACTATTCTCATATAAAAAACATTCTATATTTCAATGCAGATTTAGTCAACTAAAAACACTTTACTAATTTTGAGCAAGATGGCTTTTCCTGTTGTTTAAGGCCTATTAGCATAATTTATTTATATGATGCAAGCTAACTTTTGTCATCTGGCATGAAAAATTTTTATGCTTGTGTGTGCATGTGTTAGCTAATGTTCACAGCCAAAGCCAATCGTTTAAGTTGTAATAATGAAAAAAAATGAAAAAACAGTAATTAAAGGTTAATGTGTATGTTTGGGCAAAATAATAAAAAAAAAAAAAAACCTCATCTCTCCAATACATGCACTTTTTATTTATGTTTTTTATGGGCTGACAACACAGTGCCTTTTCTGCACTGAAATCCCAAGCAGTATTGTCAGCCTGCTACTCTGCAACAGAACCCCCCATATCACCACCCCTCTCTGTCATATACTCTGTGCATATATTAATTTATTGCCTAGCAAAACAGTGTTGCTGCCTTGTGTAGGAAAGGGATCTTGGGAGTTGTAGTTTTGGGGATGTGCCTATATCAATAGGAAATTAACTACTAACAGTTGCCCCTCCTACACTTTACAAGCCTGGTGATGACACCTCAGGGATTTTGTTGCATGCTCTAGAAGTGGAGAGGAAAGTTTGCGGGTAATGCTTCTGCATGGACTTTATTGAATTGTAGCTTTTAGAGAAGCCTGTGTATTTACATTAAATGTCTTGAGGTTTCTGGTTGCACATATATTTTTTAATGCATCTTTAAATATTTTCCATAATAAATAATTTTACATTTACCAACATTGTCTCTTTCCTAGTGATCTTGTTTTACGAAACCCCTAACTAGTTCACAGTGTGGGTTGTTAACTGGTAAAGAAACAACATTAATGTTGCAATTTTACTAATGCTTACCTTCTGGATTCCAGTGCACCACACCCCCTGCAGGTCCTCATCAGTGCTAGAATACCAAGAAAGGAAGTATCGTTCCTTATGAGCTCACTTCTTAACTGCTGGTTGAAAAGTGAGGGGGATGTTATGACCTGGATAGTTTTATGTGCACATCAAACTGGCTGGAGTTCCCGGTGTATTCACTACTGTAAGGCCATAATTTGTATTAGTCCAAGTATGGGCAATGATGTAAAGACCTCTAAAACCTTTTCACTAGGGTTGGGGTAATCACATACATCACCCTAAAGGGGCAGGCAGATTGCACGTGAGAATCCCTTCAGCATCCTCTCATGGGCACCAGGGAGCGACAGTTGTCCCCCAGTGATTCTTGCAGTGGCAGTAGAATCTCCAATGTGATTTGTAATATCACTTACTGTATGTGAACAGCGCCATCCCTATAATGAGGTAGCCTGAGGAGCAGCATGACCTCTTAGCAACCTGTGAGGCTCTATCCGGCTTCCCGCCTAGCTCACTGACATCATCTGTTGGCTGGTGTCCCACTAAGCTCCTGGCAACCAGTAAGCTGTTCCGAGAAACACCATCAACAGCACCCCAGACACCCCTCTCACCCCTGCTCTACGGCCTCAGATGGCCAACAACTGTGTAGTAGAAGGACCTTCCTGCCTGGATACAAATTGACTGGATAGATTAGGTAGGTTTTCATATTACATAGATTCGGTAACTCTACAGATGATTGTGCAAAAATTGTACAGTAAGATTGTACCGTGTGCGGTCACCCTACCACAAGAAATTCAATTGGTGTGAAGATCTGTAAAAGTAATGGTGACATTTGTACACAAACAGTCCTTTTCAGTAAAGAGTTCTCCTTCTTCAGCCCAGTAAGCAACAGCAATCAATGAGAATCCATTGTGTCCTGGTCTGAATTTAGAATTCCGATAAGGAAAGTTTATTATTGCCCAGTAAAATCTCTTCTTTCCCAATTTTCGATCCTTTGTGATGAATATTTAACTGCTAACATTAGACTCTTATGAATTAATACTATAAATACCTGGTATTGTGTTGTAATTCATGATTGACAAGGGTCTTTAGGTCAGTTTCCAGTGGCAACATTGATCTGGTTTGGTCCCCACCTCAAATATCTACTGTATGGGGACAGATTCAACCTGTAGTGGCAATGGTGAACCATGCACAAGACAGGTACACCCAAGAACACTCAAAGTAGGTTTATCCAGCATTTATATTCAGCAAGGCAGCAAACACACACAGGAGGGCTTTGTACAGCAAGTCTATAGTATAAAACAAACAAAACAAGTCCGAGCTACTAACTAAACTCAGGTCAGTTCCTGACTAACAGGGTGCCCCTAATGGGTTCCCCAAAACAAACTGGCAGTTCTGTTACCTTTTTAGTGTTCTGCCTTTTCTCTCAACATCAGGCTCCCACAGCAGAGTGAGCAAGAGATAAAGAGCCCTGGGCATCAGCCAGCTCACATATACAAAGGCCTGTGGACAGCTGAGACTAATAACAATGTCTGGCCACCAGGTAAGATGTCGTCCTAGGAGTGAGGCTCTACCAGGCCTCCGGGCTCCAGGACCAAGAATAGAATTATGAGAAAACAGGATTGTTTTATTTATATCAGTCATATACTCTGGAGTCCCTCACCATGTGTGAGAAATGTAGGTGACATATGAACATGGTCCACAATCCTGTTAACCAGTGCTTCCCAATAGGGGTCATTTATCAAAACTGGAGCAGTCAGAATATGAAAGCAGTTGCCCATAGTAACCAATCTGTTTCTCTCTTCACTCAGTCCACAGCAGGCAGAATGCAGAAAGACTTCCTCGTGGGTAACATTTTAAAGCCAACCTTTCCACTGTATTAGTAAATACAATGTTAGTGAAGAATGATGTTTGTTATGTGCAATCCACTCAGTCACATAGGGTTGTATCAGTGTTAATGGAACAATGAGCATAAAGTTCATGGTAACAATACATGAAAGGGGAATTTTTCTATGTCCTGGGTCATTCAGTGTTTTTCAGCACTGCTAAACGCATTTGTGTTTCAGTTTTCAGAAATGTAAGTATTCTTGCAGAGTTATGCAAGCTGCAAATTGTGGAGGAAAAATTAAATATTTCATAACCGGTGAAACTTTTTTTATTTTTCGCTTTTTGTTGTGCAATACATGACACCAAAATATGAACACATGATTATTTCCTGTGAGTACAAAAAGCTACGCTTCTCTTACTGAGCTCTACTGTAACTCTGCTGTCAAAAATAACCAGATAACCAACATATTTTATATTTCCTATTTGCAAGGCTGTGCTAGAATTAGCTATGGGTAAGTTAAAGCTGAACTCTGGGATAAGCAAATATTGTTTAAATACAAGAGTCATGTGTATTCCTACATGAATCTTGGGGACGTTTTGTGTATTTCTTCCAGATCTGTGCAGTAAACTAGGGTAAAAATTGCTGTAATAAAGACAGGTCACTACTGTTATTCCTCCTTGTGCAGGTGACTGGTCTTGTATCTGTCAACTCATAACCAGCTTTCAAGCAAGGTGCACATGGAAGGGCTTAATACAGTACAACAGCAAAAAGTTTCCCAGCACACTCACCAGCCAGCATGCATAAAAAACCTGTCTCACCGCCAAGGTTAAAAACAGAGGTTTTAGATACACGTCTTCTGCAGAATATGTGAAAGCCGCACCGCCTCGTCAAGGCCCCTCTGTGTAGTGCGGTCCTAACTCTAAACTATGAGAGTCTCCATCTTGGAGCACATGTGGCAAAAGATAAAATTGGGTGCAGGTTCGCCAGGAGGCAGCTCAACCTCCTTAAAGGCACAGGGACATACAAGGACCCTGCACATCACAACGGCAGCTTGAGACTCCCAGTGTGTCACTGCACAAAATCAGTCAAGCAAAACAAATAGCAAATGCACTCATCAACTCATAACCAGCTTTCAAGCAAGGTGCACATGGAAGGGCTAAACAGTACAACAGCAAAAAGTTTCCCAGCACACTCACCAGCCAGCAAGCAAAAAAAACCTGTCTAACCGCTAAGGTTTAAGGTTTTAGATACAGTCAGTGTAGATGTAAGTTATTGTAACATGTAGGCGTGTATCTAAAACCTCTGCTTTTAGATACACTTCTAGATACACACATAGAGCGCACTTTGATAAGTGATAGTGCAATAATACTAAACATATGTGCTCACTAGAAATAAACTATACATTTCCTTTTAACAAAAACCCCAGTGAGCACCCGCCGCAGTGCCAGCCTGGAAAATACACAGCTTATGGATATGTACACACAAGCAGCCAAGCAAAGCGTTCGGTTCTCCTGTACTTCCCCCACTTTGAGAGGGTTCAGTTGTGCTGCATGTACAGTTTATCTACACTCAGTGCCATGCATATTATTACATACTGTTACAAAGCAAAGAAAATGTGTTATTACCTCTATTATTGTTATTATTACTATTTTTTTATATTGGAAATTTAATTATGTGGTTCTAATTATTATTTATAATACAAATACAGTTGTGGTCTTTCGAAAAATACTTGTAAAATGATTAGCTTGTTATAATTCTTTTATTTTCATTTGATATTTTATGACCTTTCTATTCTTGTCCTTGTAGGAGACATCTATAGCATCACCAGTTATTCTGCGAGTGGATTCAAAAGGTTATTACCTGTACTGGACTTTTCAGAGCAAGGTGAGAAGGATATTATCAGATTATTTAAAGTTGTATTAAACTCTCAAACATTTTTCAATAATGAATGGAGATCAAACAAACAAATATACATTGCCCAGCAGTATTTATTTACATTTTTGTTTAAACACTGTAACAAGGACACTCCACTGTAGTCCAGGTAAGTCAAGGAAACACAGTTTATTGAAAGGGCAAACACAAAATAGCTTGAAACAGCAACATACGACAGTCTTTTAGCTTCGCTCGGTAGCTTTCCACAGCTTCAAGACACTCACGCTTGCTCACCCCTCGTGAGCCCTCACTCTGCTCTCTCTTAGCAGTCTGTCCAACAGGTCCCTGGGGTCACCGACCTTCCTGACCTCTCCCAGCCACCCCTGGCTGTTCCGTGTGCGTCCAGCACGCACCCGAGTTTGTCTGTGTGCTCCCTGCGCACACACACACACACAACTCCAACACTGACTCCAGGGTGGAGCTCTCCTGACTCACAGGTGGGGCTTCCTGATAAGGCTGCTCTCAGCCACCTGATTAGCCCAGGCTGGTCAATGGCAACACCTGGCCCCAGGACTGGAGATCTCATCCCACCCAGAGCTCTACGAAATCTCCAGAGCTCCAGATCCCAGCTGAAAATAGGAAAACCTGGAATAACCTGAAAAGCCAGGTTCTTCCTTATAACCTGCTTTACTTTCTGGACCCTCTCAGCCCCTTTGGCTGAGAGTCCTGGGTGCCAAGGTCGCCATCCTCCACCGTGGCATTGGCTTACACTGCCACAACACTTACAGTCATCGTTTCCAAACAGCTGGCTCCAATTCTCTTAGCTCGGCTTCCCTGAAACTTCTGTCCGGTACAAAATCACGAGGGCGAGAGTAGTCTCCAGCAGTTGTCCATCTACTAGCTTGGAGAATGGAGAGAGAAGTAGGGGGGTGGAGAAGTGGGAACCAGGGTATTGTCTTGCTTTGCTGTGTTTGTGTGTTTGTGGAGACACACATAGCTTACTAGCAGCAACCATTGTAAGTGATTTAATCAACATTTTAAATGGCTTAAAAATCTTTTGACTTTAATTTCACTTTAATGCATGCCCCGCTGAATTTTTCTGGGACCCATAAAATCTTCTGGTCTCTTTCTGTCTCCTACTTCTGGATAGTGTAAAATTTCCTCCGATGCACCTCAAGGAGAAATATGCAAGATTTAAATATTCAGTAATGAACAGTGTGGATTCACTAAAGGGAAAGGTGGGGTGTTTAGGAACAATCTTTAGCCAATAGCAAAATAAATTGTCAAACTTCTGTTTTCTGGACCATGTTTGGCCTTTATATACGCCTTTGTGACCCTCAACCACTTTAAGACATTAAATGACACTAAACTCAGGAATGAAATCTTAAAAATGCACTCTCTACTTTTGTTCCCGGTACAAATACATGAAATAATATTGACCCAAAACCATTATAATGTAAACAAAGGTATCCTCTTGTACCCATCTGTTCCATAAAAATGCACAAGTTTGTGGAATATATGAACAATATATATGAAAGGTTGTCCTTGAGCTGGAGAGAGTCCAGAGAAGGGCAACAAAGCTAAAAAAGGGGTAGGAGGACCTAAACTATGAGGAAAGACTGCGTGCATTAAACTTGTTTACTCTCGAAAATATGAGGCTAAGAAGGGACAAAAATTGCCATCCACAGGCAGTGAGGTTTCAGCTAAAAGTATGGAGCCATTCAAGACCCGTCTAGATAAATTTCTCAGTGCACGAGATATACAGAGGTATATATACAGAGGTTAATCTTAAACACACACACACAACCACATTGGTTGACCTCGATGGAGATGTGTCTTTATTAAACCTGACCACTATGTAATATGTATAATGCTTAGTGAGGTAATTACATCAAAATCCAGAACAGCAAAAGATTGATCATAAGAAATATCCTACCAAGTTAGAAATTCTGTGTAAGCAACAATGTGTGCTTCTAATAATTGGAATCCTTTTTATAGGCCCATGAGTAATCCGAAATGTCCCAGTCCTCGCTGGGGTGTTGCATTGGAAAAGCACTCATAAGGAAAACGAATGCTGTCAGCACTTGTATGTGCATAAATGAATGAATAAATATGTGGTTTATTAAAATGTATATGAATGAGGGAATGCATCAATACTGTTTTTTCGGTAGCGAGTACCGATGGTTATCTGGGAAGCCGGCTCCATGCTGTTTGGACGGCCCCATACTGATTGGCTGGGAAGTCGGCTTCCCGGCCAATCAGCAAAGAGCTGGCCAAACAGCATTACCCACCACCTGATATATATCAGCTAAGGAACTACAAGTCCAAGTATGCCATCATTGTCCCTGTACACCCCCCCCCCCCCACACACACATATCACCCAGGGAACGGCAATATCTGGTTGTTGTACAGGGGCAATGAGGGCATGCTGGGACTTGTAGTTCTCTAGCTGATATCTTATGAAGCTGTATTCCACCTGAAAGTACTACAATGACATTATAGAACTAAGAATAGAACATAAAATAAAACTTTTTTTTTTCTTCTAATACTCACCTGATCCCTGGATCCACCAACAAGCGCAGCCTCCCGTCTCCCACGCTTTTAGAAGTTGCATATAGCGTGTGCTGGTTAATACTTAAACTGGCACGCGCAGTGTGCGGCTTCTGAGAAGATACGCTATTAGCATAGCGGGGAAGGCGGCTGCGCATTTTGCATCACTCCCGCTACGCTAATAGTGTATCTTCTCAGAAGCTGCACACTGCGCGCGTCGGTTTAAGTTATACCTAATCATGTTACTGACCTGTTGTCAAGTAACCTAATTAGTTGCAAAATATTCTTCCAGCTCTTTCTTGTTAGTACCACTTACTTTTCCAGCTTTTTGTTGCCCTGTCCCAACTTTTTTGAGACATGTTGCTGCCATCAATTTAAATTTACCTTATTTTTTTTCTTAAAATGGTACATTTTCTCAGTTTAAACATTTGATTTGTTTTCTATTGTGAATAATATATGGGTTTATGATGAGATTTGCAAATCATTGCATTCTGTTTTTATGTAAATTTTACACAGCATACCAACTTTTTTTGGAAACGAGGTTGTATATTCTATAAAGGCCAATCTCACAGTTCTAAGTTACAGTGATGTTGCTCCTGCAAGGCATAATGATGCTTTATATTTAGTTCTATAGTGTGGTGTTGTTGGTGCTGCTGCAACACTAGTTCCATCTTAGTAAATCTAATGCTGACTTTAACCTTATGTTAGCCCCAACCTAATCATATGCTACTAAGCCCACTGTAGTACAGACATACTCCTAACCTTCAAATCTTAAACTAACCCCATTATCTCAATCTAACTGTAAAGGTCAAGTCAGTAAAATTCCCCAGCTTGTAGATACTTCCACAAAAATATACTGAAGAAGTGACTTATTTAGGGTTGATGACAGAGTGGCCAATGAGGTAAAATATGTTTTTCAGGCAGGGAAAATTACATATAGAAACCTAAAGTTTGTTTAAGACGTTTGTTTTCATATTCCCCTATAACAGTATACTCAGGCCTGGATTTCCATTACTAGAGTATTTTGGTACACAACCCTTTGCTAGGATCTCATCTGTTACATTTCATTGGCCCTAACCTGGCTTAGAATATTGCAACTCTGTAATAAGCCCATATGACTGTATTTCTACTTAAAAAGTGTGGCAGATAACTATATAGAGAAAAACCGCCTCTTCCTCAGCCACCTACAGGTTTACTATTCCTAATGGTAAATCCAGTCCTGGACCTTATTGAGCTGAAAGTGGACCATCCACAGAATGTTAGCTATCCTTTTTCTATGAAATAGTTTTAAACATTGCTAGCGAATTGGCTGTTGGCTCAGAGAAGCACTTAGCAGCCTTTCAGAGGTATGTTTTGGGGTTCTTTTTACTATCTGCGGCGATATGCTTTTCGCACTCAGTTTTAGCTGCCCGGATTTCTAGTTTCACGATTAAGTAATTTCACGATTCACGATTAACGATTAAGTAATCTACTGTTTATTATTTTTGTGTAGCATACTAAATTTTCTGTTGCCGCTCTTTCAAATATAATGTATTATTTTTGTAGGAAATTGAATTCATTGAATTGACCAGTATCCGAGATACGCGATTTGGAAAATATGCCAAAATCCCAAAGGTAGGATGTTTGTTATAAAACTAAAAATAACCAATGATATTTTAGAACCATCAGCTCCATTACAGTAATGTTTGTTTGTAGAAACAATTTTACACTACCTTTTATATTACAGCCTATGTAAGGTGGGTTTTTTTTGTATTAAAAGCACTTTTGTGCAATGCACAGTGTTAGTATTAGTGATTTTGCTACTATCTATCAACAAAGATTGAGAATCAAGGTCAAGAGATGAAAAATAAATATATAGGCACTGCTAATCTGTACAGGTCACACAACTGTAGTTTCTACGTTTTACTACTACTGTTGTAGCTTCCTTCTGTTTGTAGTTCATGTGTGTCTGCTGATTTAAGCTGAACTCCAGGCAAACAGATACATGCATAATAAACTAGATACATATGGGAACTGTTTTACCTAAAAAAGTATTTGTGAATATCTTAATCCAGTCCTGTGATCCAGTCCAGACATCCTTGCAAGACAGCAGTGCGAGATCTGTAACCTCCACTGTAGCTAAAGCACTACAGCAGGACCTGGGTATATTATTACTGGTTATTATTTATTACAGTTAATTTATATAGCGCCAAGAATTTGCTCAGTGATTTACATACTGCACATTGTCATCACTCCCTACCCTCGAGGTGCTTGCATTACAAGGTTCTTATCCCATAAGTATAAATACGGAGCCAATTTACCTTCCAGCATGTCTTTAGAGGAAGAGTATGCAAACTACATGCAGATAGTGTCCTGACCAGGATTAAGACCAGAGACACCACTGCTACAAGGCACAAGTGCTAACTACTAAGGCACTTTTAAGCCACTTTGCCGGACAATGAAACAGAGACAACACTCTCTGCTCTCTCTCTGCTCCTCCCTCAAGTCATGTTATCTGCCAACACATGTGCACTGTTGCTTAGCCTGATTGGCTTTTAGTGTTGGCCCCTCTTTTGACAGGCGAGGTGCTGCTAAACAGGGAAGCTGATATTAATACAGTTTGAGTTATTTAAATATAATTTTTTTTTAATTACATACATTTTAGCACATAACTCCAGCAATTGGTTTTATATCTGTGATATGCCTATACCATGATTCAGTCCAGTGGATGAATATTCGTTATATAACTGGTATTTAGTGTAGTAGTAGAGAGGATTTACAGTCACGATTGACAAGCCTTAAAAAGTGTATTTAAACCCAAGCAGGAGCCCCATTCAGAGGTCAGCATTACATTGTATGTGTAGTCCCCTCCACTATTTGTGGAATGGCTGCTAGATATTTAGTGATTGCGAGAGCTGTATTCAGTCTGGCTGAATTATAATTGACATTTATCTGGTTAATTCTAGGTTTTCTAGCATTGATTGTACCTGCCTGAGTGGATTGTGACTCTGCTGCAGTGTGGAGTAATCAGTGAGATGACATTGAGAGTGTGTGTATGGCTTGCCAGCCAATCACTGGTGGTTTCATGGCCAGTTGTGCATGCTGGGTAAGGGCATATATACTCAGGGGAATTGTCATGTGTTTAGTGTGGTTCCAGCCATGTGTTAGTCCTGGTTGGAATTCTGTCCAGTCTCCCCCCAGGCTCAGGCCTAGGGGTGGGGATGCTTAAGTGCCGGAATTGCTTTGTTAGGCCTCAAGTCTGGAGGAGGCCTAATACTGATTGAGGAGGAGAACCAGGGAGGCTGATGGCTGCTCTAGGTGCCTGGAATATAATGGACCTCAGAAGAAAGTCTGGTGTCTCTCCTAATAAAGATCTCATGCCCATCCATCTTCAGCTATTGCTCAAATACTCAGTGTCAGCATGTGCTCCTCTTAATCCTACACTATGTAATACTATAAGGGACTGCTGAGTCTGGAGTTCTGTTCTATCTATTTTTTTCTTGGCTGTCCTAAGCCCTATATCCTCTCTCCCAATTCATGTGTTCTAATAAAAGTTCTTTGGCATCATACCTCTGGTCTGAATTTCAGCTCTATCAGTAACAAGTACAGGGCGGTTAATGCTATTGGGGCTACAGGTTGCTAAAAATCCTCTAAACAGGCAATGGAAGACCCGTTGACTCCAGCGGCTCCTTAGAAGGTAGCGCTACATATGTAACAGCATAACTTTATTTTTCCAGTTTGAAAAGAACAGGGAACAATAGATGCTCTGTCAAATGTGTATTGCAGTCTGTGTTTTCCTACAGATTTGCCCTCTCTATTGGGGCACTTGGTCTAGTAACAACTATCTAAAAGGGAAATTCCCTCTACTTTCAAGAGGTTTCCCTCTATTTTCTGTAACATCTCTGGGATAGCAAGTTAACGGAGATCTCCCCAATGGGAAACAGACAGATGTTTTAACCCTTTACTACTCTATCCAAACCTAAACAAAAGTTTTGCTTTTACATGCACTTTAAGGGGCAGGAAGACCAAACTCTAGGATGGGGTGCAGGCCTTCTGCAAAGGATGGCCTGCAGGTAGACTGGTTAATGGCAGCAGTTCACAAAACAATGGATGGGTTTATGTGGTCTGTGGCAGATATGTACTTTGCACTCTTCACCCTGACCTGGCACAAGTCCTAAATAAGCTACCAAATCCACTTAAATGCCTAATTACAAAGTTTACCGTTACAAATCTCAAATTACTAAAAATCTGAACTACTACACAAACCTATAATAACCTATAGAATTTTTCCATCAATCAGTTTTTAATTGATTTGACTGTCCTAAACCAAAAATAGTCTTTAAGTTCCATGCTCGATAAGGACTGCTCTTATACAAATGGACTACACAAGGGAATTATAACTGGCTATAGTGAATGAACATTATGATACATTTGTTCATTTATGATGAATGCATACATAATTTAAATACAATGGCAGTGTGGTTGCCTCGTGAAATCTCCCCGGGGCCCGCGCCCCTGCTGCACCCCCGGTTGTTACGCCACTGATCCTGGTTAATTTTAAGAGCAGGACCTTTAGCCCATGTTTGTGCTGGGATTTTGCTAAAATTTGCATAGTAGGATATTATTACTGAACTGATTTGCACAGTAAAGGTAACTTGGGAAATCCAGAGAAAAGGACATTTCTCTTGTTAAGCAGCTGTGGTTTGTTGTTATAGAGTCTTCCTCAAATTGGTGTGTGATTGTGAGTTCAAATACCCAAGCAGCTCATTTACAGTCAGTAGACAGACTAAGTTACTGTGTCACATGAACCTTCTACTTTGTATAAATGGAAATAACCATACATCTTTACAGCCCACATGGAGATTTTAAATTTAAATAGTTGAGTGTTGACTGAGCACAATAAAACAAAGGCATATTATAGTATTACATTTAAGCATATATCAGTAGAGTCAGATCAGGCAACCTAGCCAGAAGCCCAGGGTCCAGTGAATGTCCAGGGGTCCCAGCTACAACCTTTATACTCCCGCAATAAACTAGGGGGATAGCACAACTGTTCAAAGATGTTAATTTGCTTGTCACTTCACAAGGAAGAATTCACTTGTAGGCAGTTAGTATTCAATGGGGACATGATAGTGCAGTCAATGCAAATGGGGCGGCTTCTCTGTGCCTATAGCAATCCTTATCAATATTAACTGGAGGGATGGGAAGCCAGAGCTTCTACCTTGGCTAAGGCCCATTCTCCATTAATATGCCACTTGACGTAAGTTGTTATCATATATCCACTGTAATCAGAGCCTTTTATGCCCTGTGTTAGCCAATGACCATAATTCACATGGATGGTATTGAACCAGTCCTTGCAATATTAAATAAAATGTCACCTGGAACCAGCAGGACACATTAAGCGCACAGGCTTTCTCCAAGTCAGTGACTCATTTGGTAGAAGACAAGAAGTAAAGCAAAATAAGGATGACAGAGCTGGGGTGTATACATTTAAAAACATGTCAGCAATGGCAGCTATTGGAGCCAGTCTCAGAGGAAGACATGGGCACAGAGGGTGTAGTTAGCACACAGTCTTTCCCAGAGTTTCTAGGGCAGGAATTGGAACTTTTTGCTGTGGAGTAACCCCCGATTGTGGTTTTCTTCATTGGTTCCAGGGAGGCAGATGAAATTGAATGCACAGGAAAAGAAGCTTGGTTAAGGAAACCAGAGGTCAACAGCAGTGATCAGCTAGATAAAGGGATAGGCCAAAAAACATAAGCACCTCAGAGTCTAACAAGCTGCCTCAGTAAGGTTAGCACAGATCTCAGGAATGCAGGAACAGAACCCTGGGGCCGAAGTCCAGTATGGAAGGTCTACAGGATCAATCAGCTTCTTTATTCCTTATTTGTGCACACAGATAAAAGCAGGTCCTTGCACAACTGCTTACAGCATGCGTACCTATGCATTTGCACCACCAAGATGGCAGGTAAGCCACCAGGCCACATATCCTAACCTGTGCCAATGCAAAGACATGGGTCTTTTAACTAATGGTCCTGTAAAAGAGATGCCATATTTTTCCGGTAGTTTTTCTTTAAGAATTCAGATACTCACCACACACTAGGGATGCTAATTTGCGAGGGGGTGAGTGGAAATTTTGAGCCCTGGATGCACCAATACCACTTTTTTAAGACCGAGTACGAGTACCGATACTTTTGATCAAGTACTCGCAGATACCAATTACCAATACTTTTTCTTAAAGGGACAGGTCACATTTTTTCTAAAGCAATACAAACTAATGCTTTAAGGTCACTTTTGTAATATTATGATCCATGAGATGACGAGGGAGCATGACGCCGGCTTCCCGGCCAATCAGAATGCCGGGCGCTGCGTCATTACATGGCACCTGGCTTCCGGATTTGCTAGCTTCCTGACCAATCGGGAAGCCTGGCAGCGCGTCATTGCACGCTACCTGGCTTCCTGATTGGCCGGGAAGTCGGCTCCATGCTCCCTCATCACAAGTGATGAGAGAGCATGACTTGCCTCAATGTATGTAATATAAGAGCTAAGGATATAATAATATTTTTGGGTGTGATATGGTTTCTGCACTCTTGGTACAGATATCAGGCATAGTCCAGGACAACCCTAGTTACAACTCT